CCATCAGAAGACATCAGAAAGTATAAGGTGTTTTATGTACTTGTCAAAACATTCCATCAGAAGACATTAAAAAGTATAAGGTGTTTTATGTACTTGTCAAAACATTCCATCAGATGACATCAAGAAGTATAAGGTGTTTAGTGTACTTGTCAAAACATTCCATCAGAAGACATTAAAAAGTATAAGGTGTTTTATGTACTTGTCAAAACATTCCATCAGAAGACATCAAAAAGTATAAGGTGTTTTATGTACTTGTCAAAACATTCCATCAGAAGACATCAAGATGTATAAGGTGTTTTATGTACTTGTCAAAACATTCCATCAAAAGACATCAAGAAGTATAAGGTGTTTTCTGTATTTCTCAATACATTCTTGCAAGATTACGTTATTTCTATGGAGCATGTTCTTATAGCTATTGCTTAGTTCATTAGCAATTATTTAAATGTATATTCTACTAAAACTTCTAGAGTCAAAAGCCAATTGTTAGGAGAGTTATAATAAGTGAGATCTTTTTGTGTTAACTGTGTTATATTGTACAATTTCTTATGGTGACAAGTTTTGTGTTTTCACAGACAGGTCCAACAGTTTCGTCCTGAAATAAGAGACTCTCCACAAGTGAAGTTTGCCATTATGGTTTTTTCGGCCATAAACAGCAACAACTATGTTCGCTTCTTTCGTCTGGTAAAAGAAGCGACGTACTTGAATACTTGCATTCTGCATCGATATTTTTATCAAGTTCGAACCAGAGCTGCTCATGCCCTTCTGAAGGCTTATTGTCTGCCAAATCATACAGAAGAGGTGAATTGTTTTTATAGATTATTAATACCTTTGTTTGATTAAATCCTTGTCTATTCATGAATATATATATATATATATAGAGAGAGAAAGTATAAGGTTTGTTTTATGACAACTAATTAGACTTTTAGAATGTCAGTATGTCTGTAAGCAACAGTAATAGCTGATATTATCTTGTAAAGAATTTACTTCTGTAATGCGACGTGTTAAAGTCATTAGGTTACATTTTGTATTAAATTGTGGGATTTTTTTTAGTTTTCTAACTCAAAAAACTGGTGTTTTAGAAGAACATTATTAGACAAATTTTTGACAACGTACCAAGATTTCAGATCTAAAAACTCATAAGGTGATGCAAGTTTTATGGCAAGAGAAGTTTATGTAACTTACAGTGGTGAAGTTTTTATACTTTAGATCATGACTGTAGTAAGGGTATTTCAATTTAAGTACAAAGTAAACAGTAAATACTGATTATGGTCATTTTACATTGTACTAGTTATGTTTGGTTAATTTGTGTGTAATACGAAAAATAATGTAAATGTTATACTTGAGTCCTCTTTCGAGTGTGAATGGTAAGCTTGAGAACTTATAATAATAGAATTTAGGATTTGATCCCTGTGATGGGCACAGCTCAAATCACTCATTCTGTAGCTTTGTGTGTGATACTTATTGACTTGTTGTATTGAGCTGTATGACAAATGCTATATCTGTTACCTTTCAGTTCCCTGTTAAAGAGATGAAACGTCTCTTAGCCTTCGAGAGTGAAGAAGAGGTTAAAAACTTCTGCAACTGTTTGGGTCTGACTACGAGTAATGAATTTGTCACTCTTGACAGAAGCTCTTTTATTATTCCAGTGACAACACCTTCTATTACTCGAGCTATACAACTGGTGGAAAGTAAACGAACAACGTCTGTTGGAGAGGTTGGTTCAGAATTGGAACTTTGTTTACAGGCTCTGTGAGGTTTACTGAATTTTTAAGAGTAAATTACTGTACTTGTGTGTGTTTATAATTTATATTTGTATTGTAATGTTTTCAACCAAATAATTTGTTTTATAACAGAGGTTTTAAACTCTTTAAAGAACTGCACACTAATTAAAATTAGTTTTATGGCTTTTTTTTTCAATTAAACATTTTTAGTGCTTTATACTGAGCATGGCCTGTTGTAATGATTAGTATTTTTAACCTATTTTCTAAAGCTTAGAAGAATTTAGTCCCCAGTTCTTGAAATATAAGAGACCCAGTAATAGCATGTCAGACTGTGATCTGAGGTTCCATGGTTTGTGTCCCATTACTGCCCCAAAAAAATCACTTGCTGCTATTTGAGACTGTGGGTGTGTTATAAGAGTTAGTGGTGTTGAATAGCTGTCTTTTCTCTAGTCTGTTACTTCAAAATAAGAATGGCTATTGCAGATAGCTCTCAAGTAACTAAGCACAAAATTCAACAAACAAACTTGAAGTGTAGTTTAGAGAATCACATCAGGAAAGGTCAATTGGAATTATTTTGAATGATATTCTGGATTAATCTAACCATCTAACCAACATGTCAGAGTCCAAAGTTGGGTAAATGTGTTTTTTTTTCCTTATATATTTAAAAAAATAATTTCTGTTGACCTTCATTCATTGTAAGAGTTTGTGTTGTGAGTGTTCTATCATGCCCTTTACTGTAAAGACATATTTTAACCAAATTTAATGTAGCCTTGGAATTATTGTCCTGCTAGAAGATAAATAACTCCAATTTATTGTCTTGTCTTCCTTATTTGGATTAACATTTCGGGAGACTTTTTTAAAGCTGAATGTTAAAATAAAAACTAAAATACTTTGTAATTGTAGATAATATGTTTATCTTTAGGAAAGAAATTCTGAAAATGTGTTTTCTAGTTAAGTGTGTTAGTGTCGAATGGATGCATGAAAAGCCCGAGAACAAGTTTCAGAGGATTCAGAATCACTTGGAAAGTGTCAACAGTTATTGTCAAATAAGGCAGTGAACTTAGCTGGCCATTTCTAAAATGAAGCAGTAGTGGTCAAGTTCATGTTTTGTTGATATCATTAAGGGACTTCAGTAGTGGTCAAGTTTATGTTTTGTTGATATTGTTAGAGGATTTCAGTATTGGTCAAGTTTATGTTTTGATGATATCATTAGAGGACTTCAGTAGTGGGTCAAGTTCATGTTTTGTTGATATCGTTAGAGGACTTCAATAGTGGTCAAGTTTATGTTTTGTTGATATCGTTAGAGGACTCCAATAGTGGTCAAGTTCATGCTCTGTTGATATCATTAGAGGACTCCAATAGTGGTCAAGTTCATGCTAACGATATCAACAGAGAAGGACTTCAAGAGTGGTCAAGTTCATGCTCTGTTGATATCATTAGAGGACTTCAAGAGTGGTCAAGTTCATGTTTTGTTGATATCATTAGAGGACTCCAATAGTGGTCAAGTTCATGTTTTGTTGATATCATTAGAGGACTCCAATAGTGGTCAAGTTCATGCTCTGTTGATATCATTAGAGGACTCCAATAGTGGTCAAGTTCATGCTCTGTTGATATCATTAGAGGACTCCAATAGTGGTCAAGTTCATGCTCTGTTGATATCATTAGAGGACTCCAATAGTGGTCAAGTTCATGCTCTGTTG